TTTTTGATTTCCTGACTGCTGGTGTCAAGAGTGTTGACTGTGGAGCCGAGCAAACTGAAGCTGTGAACAATCTCAATCTTGTCCCCATCCATCCTGACACTGCCAATTGGTCCAGTGGTGAGAATAGATGATGTTACATATACACAATGGAATTTACTCAACTATAAAGAAATATGAAGTTTTGATACATACTACAATAAATAATAAACCAGACACAAAAAGACAAATATTATATGATCCAATCCCATGCATATATAATGAAACCCCCAGAACAGGCAAATGCATAGAAGTAGAAGGAAGATTAGTGTTTAAGAGGAGCTTAGGGGAGTTACTGCTTATGGGTACAAAGTTTCTGTGCAAAATGATGAAACATTTTAGAAATAAACCATGATGATGGGTGAAGGAAAAACAAATCTGTGATCAGACCAACCGTCTCCTTAAAATCCCTCAGTGATTCCTGTTGGCATACAAAATCCTTCAAATCTCATCCCTAACTATCTAGTTCCATCTCCTACTTCCTACTTTGAACATAAAAGTCTAATAATATCTAATAATTTGAAGTTCTCTAAGAGTGCCTCTTTCTTCTCACCTTTGTTCACCTTTTCTATCTGGATGTTCATTGTAATTTAAGATTGTTCACACATAACTTCTCCAAGGAACTTTTTCCTATTTTTCTCTCCTCTTTTTTTTTTTTTTTGTTCCATTTACTCCCCGACGGAAAATTTTTTTTTTTTTTTTTTTACGTGTACCATCAAATCAGATCTGACCGGTACAGAAGGAGATTGCCCCCTCCTTCTCCAGCAGAGCATGCATCTGGTGGATTTGAACTGCGTACCTCTGGGATTGCAGTGCAGCGTCTTGCCACTAGGCCACCAGAGCTCCCCTTTTTCTCTCCTATTAATGTGGTGTTCACCTTACATTTACCTATGGTCCTTTAGTACGGACCACATCACACTCTATCTTGCTAGATTCTTAGTGCCTCTCTCACCACACACACATACACATACACACATATACATACACACTGAAACCCCTTGACAGATACCTTTTAAATTATAGCACCAGTACCAAAACTTCTTAAATCTCCAAAGGCTTATAAAACTAATTAAGGCAGTTAAGAAATTATAGTAATAGCTTAGTGTTTTTAAAAACTGTTAATTTTTCCATGTATTATGTCCACTGTAATTCTTAGAATAATTAAAGGACAGAAAGAAATATTATAATGAAAAGTTAACTTTCCCAAGGATAACAGTATTAATATAATGATAGTCTTAGTATTTGAACCCAGAAGGTCTTTTTACTCTACAAATAGGGGCTTGGGACTTATTTATTTTTGATTGTTTGTTTTGGTTTTTACTGTATTGCACTGCACAGGAATTAACAAGCAAAGTTATATGGAAAGGACCTTGAAACCTAAGTGCAGAAATTTGGACATGAGACTACAGGTTACTGATAAAGAAATATGTTAATAGCCATATTTCAATTGTTATGTGGGTCTTTGAAAATTCTAGAAAGCAGCCTTTCAGTTTCATCAACAAGAATTAAAGGGACAAAATCAAGTTATCTTCTAAACAAAGAAATGATGCTATTTGTTAATGTAAGAGATATGAAGATAAAAAAGAAAATAACAACAAAAGAGATATGGAGATAAAGCATACAGGGACTATAAGATGACTAAGGTTTACAGTTTAGGCATAAGGAACAGCTGATACTAAGACTGATGGAAATGGTGTAGGCTAATGTTAGAGGCAGGAAAAGGGTATGTTTATAAACTCCAAATTTTTCAAAGTCAAAATAACTGAGCTGACTATCCTATCTCATAATTAATTTATTGAGACATCTAATTGATATTCTAAAGTAGCTGCTAAAACTTCACATCAATATTTACAGAATGCCGATGCACTGCACTTCACAGGCATATAAAAACAAATCATTTGTTTCTATATAGAAATTTGACCTGCAGATACTATTAAACAGAACATGGCTGCAAGCTTTCTTCTCTTTTAGATTTATCCCTGTCAGCAGATTTTAGCCCCCAGTGATGACTGTTTAATATAGTGTATTTCATATGTCCCTAGCTTTAAGGCATTAAGCCCAGTCATTAGGGTAAAATAAAATAGCACCTCCTACTACAAGAAGCTGATATAGAGCATTTCCAAAGATTTTTTTCCACAGATGTAATCAATCTGAAGCCTTTGCAAACCAACAGGTGAAATCCATGTGTACAGTCACTGTTTATGTTTCTTGTAAAAGATATTTGCAGGGAGCTCTGGTGGCCTAGAGGCAGGAAGCTGCACTGCAATACCAGGCAACCACAGTTCGAATCCACCAGATGCTCTGCTGGAGAAGGCGGAATAATCTCCTCCTGTATTAGTCAGATCTGAATTGACAGTACACAAACAAAAAATAATAATTAAAAAATTATAAAAAAGGTATTTGCAATGAATAAATCATTGATGGTACAGAATTCTATCTCCAGCCTCATTTCTGTCACCAAGTCCATGTTTTCTGACTTCTGATTCTTCTTCCCTGTTCTCAACTTTTGCATTCCAGTCACTCATTAATGTATCTTGCTGGCATGTTTGATCAATTTCTGAATGTAAAAGCTGGCAAAAATAATCTATTTCCTCCTCTTTGGCTCTGGTTATTGGTCCATATATTTGAATGATAGTAGTATTCACTGGACTTCCTTATAGGTGTATAAATATTACCCTTTTAGTCACAATAGTGTATTTTTTTTTATTGGGAAAAACATATTGGGGGTACAAGGAGGTGAGGGTTGGGGGCAGAAGGGTGAGGATAGGCCACGATGCAGTTGCAGAGCTGCACAGTTTGGTCGGTGCGGGGAGCAGGTGAAGGAAATGATGAGGGTCCAGTGGGGACCAGATGCTACAG